ATTTTCATGTCGGACTTTGATGTGAGAGGACAACAGGAGGCTTCATTGGAGGAAGCATTATTATGGATAAAGTTTTTAAAGCCTTAATGATGGATTTGTTTATTACAAGCACACAGATTTTTGCTTCACAAGATGTTAATTGATGGACTGGAGTCGTGTGGATTACTTATGGATTATTGTGATGTTTTTATCAGCTGTTTGGACTCTCATTCTGACGGCACCCATTCACTGCAGAGGATCCACTGGTGAACAAGTGATGTATTGCTATTTTGGATTTCTTCATATCTGTTCTGATGAAGAAACAAACTCCTCTACATCTTGGATGGCCTGAAGATGAGTACATTTTAAGCAGATTTTCATTTTTGGGAGAACTATTCCTTTAACTATCATCATAAGTGGACTTAAAGGAAAAAATAAAATGCTACCAAATGTAAAATATGTCTACATTAAGACATTTAGCAGACACTTTGAGCTGGTGGCCACTGACCTTAGTGTCTCTCCATGGGACATCTGACCGCAAGTGATCAATAAGCTGATCCAGTACAGAGTCAAAGCCTTTACCACGCCAGTCTTTCACAGCCAAATCAGCCAAACCTGCAAATCAGGACCAAACATTGGACGACTGGTCTAAACACTCAGCAACTAAAACTTGAAGATGCTCTCAGATCTAAAGAGTGCGACTGTACCTCTGTAACGCCTGTGAATGAGCTGATGGGTTGAGCTGCTGTGGTCCATAATTAGAACAAGGGTCTTTACAGCTGCTCTGCCAATCACAGGATTCGAGCTACTGGACATTTTATACACAATATCATCCATGATGTCAGTCAGAGCCCTGTTTCCCATCTCAGCTACAACAGCACTGCAGAAACATAGGGAGAGATAGAGGTATTTGAGTATTTGGATGTGAAGCAGTTACATGGATAAAGACTGTATTATGGACTAGGTTGTACCCGTTTGCCCTGAAGATATTGTTCCACATGGTGACAGTAACAAAGGAGACGTCATCATCTTCACAGATTTGGATGTTCTCATAATGTTTAGATCCGAGTACTGAGAAGAGAATGCTAAAACATCAGTTTCATTTCAGTTCAAGCTAAAATCCATCTCTACAACACACATCTTGTGATGGTTAATTTACTAAATTTATAGAGGAAGTTGTTTACCATGATGAATGAGATGTGTATGAGCCCTGAGGAGCCAGCCAATCGAATCAAAGACTTTTCTAAATAAACGAATTATCTCATTATGTGCCTTGTCCTGTTAAAAAGAGAAATGAAATGATCTGGTTGGTTACAACTCAGCTAATAAAATTGTTCTTAGAACTTTTTTGCTAACATTCCCATTATTTATGAATGTGCTCTTAAAGTTCAAAACATCCATTACTTTTTTTCTGGTTGAATGTTAGTGAAAACATGAAAGGAATGTTTATTATTTTCAAACATCATTTTGTTAAAGTTTCTTCTGAAACAAATAGTACGTTTTAATGTTAGACATACATTCAAGGTTCCATGAATGATGTATAATGTAAACAACATTAATCAAGACTTGATAACTTTGAACGAACATTCTATTACGGCTACTGGAAGAACATAACTTTCAGAGAACCTTGCCAGAACATTTGCCAAAGTTCTGAGAACGTTCCCTGTTAGCTGGGTATATTGTATGCTGTCTCTTGTAATCAAAATATAGCAATTACTATCAAAAGTCAGATATGAGAGAACTAGTTAGAAATAATGACAGGTGATTAAGATTTGTATCACTCTGAAAGGGTTTATTTTGCATTAATAACTAGCTGACTGTACAATAAATAACCCAAACCTTGCTACTTGATGTTTTCTGTGATTCAGGAGACTGTAATATCTTACCCGCAAAGCTCTGTTCATTAGACGTTCTGCAAGAAAAAGAAGGCTTTCCACCACAGAAGGCAGAAATTCATGACTAAACACCTCCATGTCTCTGAAAGCACCCAGACCCACACAGCATGTGCTAGTTGGACAGAAACACGCTTTAAAACTCAGAGACTGCGAATGACAAAAGTACTCAGCTTGTATTTATATTGGAATACCTGAGGAGGTCTGCCATCTGTGTCAGAACCGCATAGCCTCCGTGAATCTTGGCTGGACTGAACTTCAGGGAAGAGGAGCAGTACTGCAGCACACCATGAGAGTAAAGACTCAGTTTACATGCCTCCAGATCCCTCTGATCTCCTAAAGACGTCCTGCCTACAAGATCTGTTCATGAAAGGAGTTTGAGTTCATTCATGTAGGAGATACATTTACATTTAGTCATGTAGCAGACGCTTTTATCCAAAGCGACTTACAAATGAGGACAATAAAAGCAGTCAAAACTAACAAAAGAGCAACAATATATAAGTGCAAATGACAAGTCTCGGTTAGCCTAACGCAGTACATGTAGCAAGGTGTGTGTATATATATATATATATATATATATATTATACACACATACACAAACACACAAATAAAGAAAAACAAGTAGATAGAATAGAAAAAGTAGAAAGCTAGTGTTTTTTGTTGTTTTTTTTTAAATAAAGAATACATTTTAAAAAGATAAATATAGATAAAGTAGAATTATAATAGAATAGAAAGTGTTAGAGTTAGAGGGTCAAATAAAGGTGGAACAGATGTGTTTTTAGTCGTTTCTTGAAGATGGGTAAGGACTCAGCTGCTGGGATTGAGTTGGGCAGGTCATTCCACCAGGAGGGAACAGTTAGTGAAAAAGTCTGTGAAAGTGATTTTGTGCCTCTTTTAGATGGCACAATAATACGCCGTTCACTTGCAGAACGCAAGCTTCTAGAGGCACATAACTCTGAAGTAATGAATTTAGGTAAAGGGGTGCAGAGGCAGTGATGGTTTTGTATGCAAACATTAATGCCTTGAATTTAATGCGAGCAGCTACTGGTAGCCAGTGCAAATTGATGAACAGAGGTGTGACATGTGTTCTTTTCGGCTCATTAAAGATGAATCTTGCAGTGACATTTTGGATTAATTGTAAAGGTTTGATAGAAGTGGCTGGAAGACCTGCCAAGAGAGCATTGCAATAGTCCAGCCTGCACAGAACAAGAGCTTGAACAATACATGATACATGGATACATGGTTGTGTTCTAGGATAGCCGACATCTAAAACTATTTCAAATAATATTTTATAATTAATGTAAAATTAACGTACATGCCGTTTTATGAGCTTATATGAACTGAGAGGTTATATTCTGTATATCTTATAAAGCATTTGTCACACCGCATGACTATTTGGGTGAACTGCAAAAAAAAAAAAAAAACGAACAGTTTTCGAAATTCTACAGTGATAAATGTAGGAAAAGAGAGGACTTTCATTAGCTTTACCTTTTAATTTTGAAAGCACGTCGTTAACCTTGTTTTCAGATTGTTCTCGAGTGTCTGCGACCAGGTCCTTCAGTTCTGGGCTCATTTGATCTCCTGATGGACTCATTGTGCTCACCAGCTCGGAAAAACGTGTTCGATTTCATATATAAAAACCCATGTCGAACGTCAAGAGTTTGTATTTAGTCTATTACTTCTCATATATATTGGGTGAAGATGTAACTTCCATGACTGTTCTGGTCAAGAAAAGCGACAAAACAGAGCCAGTTCAGTTTCTATGGTAACCTTACGTCATCACACTGCGACCCGTACATCCTGTTGTTGAGAAAAGTTGTTTTTTTTAAAGAATATTTCACACATGATGTTGTATCATAACAATAATCGGTATATTTGTTCAAATAAAAGACAAATTGACTGACTGTTGTGCATTTACCAACTCCAACAAGGGTAAAAGCACAACTAGTGTGACGAATGATAACATGTCTTGAATGTGTTTGTTTGGAATACGTTTTCAATTTTTTTTGTGTTAATTACATTTTCTAACTTATGTAATAGGCTAACGGTGGAAATTCAATGTTATCGCCTATTTATTTACCATAGAACTAGAAAATCCCGTTTGCTTTTTTAAAAATACACATTTTAACCTGTTTTTTGTTTTTTTTTACAGTCTATGATTTAAACATAAGACTGAATCACTTGCACACACACACACACACACACACACACTTCCTTCTTATCTCATATTTTGAAATTTTAACAAAACACCTTTTGTATAACAAATACTTCCCTTTTAAAGCATGCATTTTACAACATAAATTTCAAACGTTTAAATATATTTTGGTCATTCAAAATATACCTTAGGCTATATTGTGCAATGAACGTGCAGACCCCAAAATAACCTTTGTTGTTGCTGTTGTCCTTGTTTTGTCCAATTTACTGTTTGTGACATGAAAAGCACACAATTGAACAAAAATGGACATAGCATTCCTTACTTTAATCTTTACATTTATTTATCAGAATTTTATATTGAACCATTCTGAAAAATCTGTCAAATAAAAAAAATCTGTCATTATGTTTTTGAACATATTTTTTCAAATAGAATTATGTAAATATTGTACAAAATATATTGCACTACAACAAGAATAACAGCAGTTCTTGAAATTAGGTTTCAACTAAGTGTATTTCGAAACGTATATTTTATATACCCTAACGAATATGTTTCAATCTGTAATTTGGCTAGAATTATTTTTCGTATGGATTGAATTTATGTGAATTATTCAAATAAATCCATGTTTCATTGCACCCGTCATAGACGTGTGTGACACTTTCAGAACATTGAGCGCGAGACAATACAGATGCGCTACATACTGTACATTTTCAGTTGATTTTTTATTATTTAGGGGAATGTTTCTGTCCCCTAGGATGATTTTAACATCAACATCTAACATTTTCAAAACACAAAGAATCGCCATGAACATTCAATAATTACTTATTAATTTATTTCTATTTGATTAAAACAAGTTTTTGGTTCATGTGCTCCTCTTTAGATCAGGGGTCTCTACAGCACTTCCTCTACTGTCCCGTAGAGAAGCTGGGTCTTCAGGAGCTTCGCACCAACAGCCCTAGTGTCCTCTCCACTGAGGATCAGCAGGTTCAACCTCCTCCAGCTCAAGCCTCCAACAGTAAATTCACTTTATGTACTTTGTCAAAAAATGTTCATGTTATTTGTCAACATCAGTATTTTAGGTTAAAATAAGTACAAATATTCTAAATAATAGACAGCCAACTACTATTTATTAATTAAAACTACAGGTGTGATAATTATGAGAACAAGACCCAGCTAAAGTCACTTTTTTATTTTGATTGACTGTTTTCTACATAAAATCATCCTTCATAAGGTAAAAAATGTAACCTTGGTATCTTTAATATTGACTGAGTAAGACCATGGCAAAGATTTAAATCATAGTGAAATTAATAGTTGAAATCAAACTTTGATGCTTGTTATCTCATAATTAGATTTTGAGACTTTAGCCTGGATTTCGCAGAGAGGGTCACATATACATTAGTTTGAGAAATCTGTAAAAAGTGTTCCTGACATGGCTGAGCCAGAGTACTGTACCAGTACCAGAGCTCTCTATCTAGGCCTTCCTGGTCCCAGCACTCCATTACTGTCCAACTAATTGACTTCCTGTACAGGGACCTTCTAAAAAATTCTGCCTATAAGACATTCTTGGGTATATATCGTGTCTTAAACCTGTAGTTTGCAACAAATTCTAATGACCAGTTACACCATATCTCAATATGCATTCTTCTTGTAACCAATCAAAAAACGATTTTCTTCAGGCACAGAACTCTATTGCCCTCGTAAGTGGCAAATACCATTGGAAAACCTGCAACTGTGTGTGGAGACCCTCCAGACAACAGTGACTTAAGGCAGCAATATTTGCATATGGCAATATTACTTGTCTAGGGGTGTTCAGAGGTTCCTGATGTGATACCAGACAGAACTGGTGCACCACTTCAAGAGCTTCTCAGTTAGCTTAGCATCTTGCAGGCTGATGCAAGTCAACACCATCCCTCAACGCCTTAGCATCTTGGAAGGCGGGCAATGTTCCTGCCACAGTCAACCAGGCTTACTAGGCTTTACTCAGCCTAGAGCTCACCGTTTTAACCACCCAGTCCTATTGATTCCTGTAATGGCCATCCAGGAGGTACCTACAGTATGAACTCCCCCTCTCAGAACTCCCTGTCAGTCATTCCAAGCTCCCTTTCAAAGCCACCCCAGTTGCAAGGATTCTTAGCTGCTCTAATGGTTCCTACCATGATTCGAAGCAGATCTCTTCATTTCATGAGTCTGCCCTATAAAGCACTCTTTAGGTTTACCTAGAGTGGACTTCTACAGCCCTGAATGTCAGCAGAGATCAGGACAACTACATGAGCCACAAAGACAGATCCCCAGTGAGGACCTTGTCTCATAGATGGCCACCGGGACAAGTCCACAGGAACCAGTTGAGTCCTCTGCACAATGTGACATTGCTGCAGCCTGGAATTGAACTGCTGGTTTCGTCTGGCCAGAGGAGAACTGGCCCCCCGACTGAGCCTGGTTTCTCCCAAGGTTTTTTTCTCCATTCTGTCACCGATGGAGTTTTGGTTCCTTGCTGCTGTCGCCTCTGGTTTGCTTAGATGGGGACACATAATTCCCAGTGATATCGTCGACTCGATTGCACAGACACTATTTAAACTGAACTGAGCTGGATGATGACATCACTGAATTCAATGATGAACTGCATTTAACTGAAAATTGAGTGCTTACTATTATCATTTTGCGTTATTGACACAATATTTTCCTAATTAATGCTGTACAGTTGCTTTGACACAATCTGCATTGTTAAGAGCGCTATATAAATAAAGGTGACTTGACTCCCTGCCATGATGTCCAGTTTGCTGTAAAACATGTTCCTGCCACATCTGAGCCAGAGCCGGTTCCCAAAGCCAGTGCTCCCTAGTTCCAGTGCTCGGTATCAACACTATCCTCAACGGAGCACTCCCTCAAGGGTGCCTGCCTACAGTTCCTGACAAAACCGTTCCTGTCACACCAATCCTAGAACTCTCCATCTAGGCCATCCTGGTCCCAGCACTCCCTAATTTTATATCTGTTTTTGTTAGAGCTAATTATGGTCCAGAAAATAAATACAAATACAATTTGCCAAAATAATGCTGACATAAATCAAGCTCTTTGCTACCTTATGTTCAATAGCACAATGAGATGAGTCACTAGTTTACTATTAAGCTTATCAAAGACTCTCTCTACTTTAACATCTATAAAAAAGGAACATGGATACCTTTTATTTTTAAAAAAACTGTGACAGACTTCTTCCCAGTTTTCAAAACATTACATGAGTGTGCTTTTGGTTAATAAACTCAAATAACATCTTTCTTTTCTTACTGTCTCTTGGCACCTAGCACCATGTGAGTTTCAGTTACTGAATTTCCTAACACGGCCTTGGAGGATTTTATGAATTTAATAAACCTTTTAATAGATTTCTAGAAGTTCAGGAGTCCCTAATAATTAAAGCAAGAAAATAAAAACAATGCTTGGAAGATCAAAAAGGAATATGAACACTCACATTCATATGCAAAATTATTCAAACACAATAAATGAAGAGTTTAATATCAGCTTTGTGAATGTATAATGTTAAAATACAGGACAAACTACCCTGTATGGATTTAATATGGAAAATTTCTAGTATTATTCAAGACTGAATCCTAGCGAGCTTAGGGCCAAAGAAAAAAACATCACTGAGAAATGTGATATTCTTTGATATTTCACATAATAATTTAATAAAAAAAATAAAGACACATTTAAAAACATCCACTAATTACTTATAATCAAATTAAAAACACAATACAAACATTGTCATACTGAATTATTTCTTTAGATCAACTCTCAGGGTCTTCTGCAGACTTTCTATGCTGGCATCTAATGCTGCAAGCCCGTCCCTGAAATTCTGCTCATCCTGTGTGTTAAACGTGGACCAGGAGTTTATGCTCCAATCAGAGGCTAAAGATTTAATATCACACGAGGAAAAGGTGTTCTCCGTCACTGAAGGGTGTCCAGTGGATGCTGACTGAACACCCATCCTTAGGCATCGACGGGCATGTTGGGATTGCACTAGCTGATTGTTCAGGTCCTTATTTTTCTGATTTAAATGTAAGGCCATGCCATGATGATCTGAAATGTAATCTCGGCCATCATTCTTCACATCCTGAACGTGAAGCCCATCTGAGATGTCCAGCTTTTCAAAAGCACGGCCCATAGATTTCAGGTCTACATGAGCATCCACATATTCCCTTTGACTCTTGGATGTTATCAGCTCATTACACTGAGTGAGTGGATTACTGTGAGCAACTCCTGAGGCAAGCTGCACCACTGGAGTCTCTCTTAAAGGGGCAAACGTTGTTCGTTTCTGCTCTTCTAACTGAGACACATTCTCAGCTATGGTTTCCAGGGTTGGTTTGCGTATATATGGGGAGCAGACTGGCATAAAGTTCTCTTTTCCACCATCAGTCTGACCAGGAAAGGTTGGTTGTAATGTCTGGGACCTACAGTAAACTCGGTGGGGAGGAGAGGCCTGTTCGATGCCCTCCAGGGTCTGAAGGTAGGTCTTCACAGAGTTTGAAAGTTTATCTGAGACAGCGGACTCCCTCTGTGCATTTTCATGCAATTCCAGAACACTCTTGGTAAGCTGAGAGTTTGGTTGACACAAGTCCAACTGATGAGAATATTTGCTGGTGTCTTTTGTTTGACTTAACTGCAGATTTCTGTGTGCATGAAAAAAAAACAGCATTTGACCTACATATTCGGTTATATGCTACATTCTCTAAATTACATTTGAAAGTGTAATTTCATTGTAGTTTAGATGAGTGGCACTCAAGCCAGAATTTAAATTACATCAAGTGGCACAAAGTACAGTATCAAAATTGCTTATTCTACAGTACACACACAAAAAGGAGGGCTTGTCATGCAACCTGTCCATGTTAACATGTCTACTTTGGCTTTTAATCAAGTGACAAATGAATGTTAGTCAAAATAGAGTTTGACTGGATGCACATCCTTTAACTTCAACAACAAAACAGAAGCACTTTCTCCTCCCATTTAAAAGTTGATCATCTTAACTATGTTTATTTGCATGTAGAATGATTTTTTTCACTGCTCTCCATGATTCTTTGAGAACATACCTAACCCACCGGTTTAGTTAGTTACCTGATGACTTCCTGCAGACTGCTGATCTCTGTCTCCCTCTGCTGAAGGCTCAAAGTCAGTTCCATCTTCTCAATCTCATACTTTCCAAGTTTATTCTGGCAACTCTGCATTTCAGCTAATGCCTCACTCACCTCTGCAAGGGTAAGTAACTTGACAATTACTCACAGCATAAAGAAAAAGGCTTCAAATATGTATGTAAATTAAACAGCAGTCATGTTTTTTTAATATTAGTGCAATAAAGATATCTTGGAATGTGCAACAAATGTTATAATGCAGTCATACCTGTTAATATAATATCAATATAGTGATTATAAAAATCAATTCTAAGTTAGTTTTTTTTTTTAATAAAAATGCTAGATGGTTAACATATTTACTATACTATAATTTAA